CGTATGGAAGGGGCTCGACATCGACGAAGATGAAACGCTGGAAACGGAGGGTCTACAGGGGTTCAAGGAGAAGATGTCTGTTTCTTGTGCCGAGAGAGAGGAACAATACCTAAGGAAAGAAACCGAGGATAAGGAGGGTCTAGAAGTGTACGAGTTGTTGAAGGAAGGAATAGGGTTCAAGGACTACCTACATGGACCAATGGATGCAGGAACAAAGCTTAAGGTCAAATTCAGGACCGGGGACATAGGCCTTCGAGAACGTCGACGAAGACATAGGACGGTAGACGAGGAAGACGACGAGTTCAAATGTGATTGCGGCTTCGAATGCGAAGACCGTGTTCATGTAGTCGCGGAATGTCCGTTGTACAAGAAGGAGAGGGAAGTGTACGTGACTGAGCTGGGAAAAATAGATGGAACGTACAGGGAGATGTTTGAGGCATGGAATAGAGAGGAAAGGACGGTAGCTGTACTGGGGCATAGGAGGTGGGTTGAAAAGGCGGGAAGGGATATCGTTAGGATAGACAGACTAGGGAAGACATTTTTGAGCCACCTTTGGCAAAGTAGCAAGGAACGATTGGCCATCGGTGATCTGTCCTGTGGGAACAACGCTTCCGTCCTCTCGAGGACGCGTGATCAATGGTCTAGCCGCTAAGGCATGCAAAACACAAGAGTACGCCCTCCCCCGCTAACGCTTCGTCCTCGCGAGGATGCGTGGTCAAGGGTCTAACAAGAAAGGCATGCATAACATGAGCAACCCCCCCCCCCCCCCCCCCCCCCCCNNNCCGCCCCCCGCCGTCCGACCTCTGAAGTAGGTGCTTGACCTGCGAGATGAGACCAGCTTCGGTAAAGCGCACATCCGCGGGTCGCACAACATTCCCGTGGGGTCTCTGTGGAAGGAAAACCGATGGTGGGAAGCGCGCAAACGAAGAACGTTCGGTTTTTGTATGATTTCGAACGGATAGTCTTTCTTCCACTGCTGCGGTACAATATATGGTGCGATCTCGAACTGCTACAGGTTTCTGTGATTGCGTGCGTATTTTCTACCATGGGTAAGAAGTATGGCACCGCCATACCCTTGGTATAGTATTCCGCCAGTGGCCATTAACACGTCACGGACGTCTATCAACATCCGCGCCTCCCTTTCCACCCCGTCTCAAACTTGACTGCTCAAGCCGGCTGGTCTTCGCCGCACATCGTTTCCCCCGTTTCTTCACTGTCCGAAGTGCCTGTGGTCCACACTGCTGCACTTCTGCTGTCAAGATGGTAGACTGCTGTTAAGATAGTATTCCTCGCTTTTGTTTAAGCAGGCCGCCTCGTCTAGGCCTGTCCTCCATCGGCCGTTTTGCTTGTATGACGGAGAATAAGAAGGTGGAATTACTTGAAATTAGTATAGAAATAAAGTTTGTGTATCTAAATCGAAAATAAAACGGCCGATGGAGGACAGGCCTAGCCTCGTCCACTAAGTTACACTTTGTTCGCCCTTTTTGGGGTGGCGGAAGTAGCGGCAAGCGGTTTGCAGCAGGAGCAGAACGACACCTTGGCGTTGGGGGTCTATAACAGCTTTGCGTTGCGTGTGCCGGCCGTACGAGGGGTAGATGGATACAGGTTGTGCCTAGCGCGGAAGAGGGAGGCGCAACCACAGGCAGCCACACTCCGCAGCGTATTAAAAGTATGCGAAGCGGACGAATGACTTTACCGTGTGTTAACAGGTACGACCCGCTAGAGCAACCACGAGCGCAGCCACGGCTCCGCAGCGTGTGAAAGCACGCTAAACAAATCGAACGAATAATAATTGTTCGTTTTTGTGAACCCACAGGTACGAGCTTCCAGAGCAACACGAGCCGCTGGTCGTGCTCCTCCCGGAAGAGGGGGCCCCGTGGAATGCTTTGACGAGCGAGGCTCTCGCGGAGGAGATCACGGGGCGCAGGGCCGAGGGGGCCACCGCGACTCTCGTGTTCGACCAGGAGATGCTAACGACGGCGAGGGAGAGCGGGCTCTTGCTTGAGGAGGGGGAGGAGGGGAGGGAGTCGTGGTCGGAGAAAGGTGGGACAGGTGAGAGAGAGAGAGAGAGAGAGAGAGAGAGAGAGAGAATCTGCTTGCTTTTCGGAAGGAGATGGTGGTGTTTTCTTTTCTCGTCCCGGTCTGCTCGATTGTTCGGTTGGCTCGTTTTTGTTCTTTAGGATGCGTATACATACGTGGCGTACGCTTCATCATGCCTTGGAGGTTTCGCGCCGTTGTCATCTGCATCTGGCGGTGTGTGTTGGTGTTGGTGTCTTACCATCCACGGCGTGTGTGCGATCGTGTCCATTGCGCAGCAGCAGTGCTTGCGTCGAGGCCGTCGCAATCGGCACCTTCGACCCTGTTCACCCCGTCCCCTTTCCTGACAAGAGCGGTGGCGGTGATCGAGCCCCACTTGAGGCACGCGTGGTGAGTGAGTGGCCAAGTTTGGGACCCCCTCTCATCCCTTTCCCTGCCCCGGTTGATACGTCAGAACATGTACACCGAACGATGTGTAGGCTGGCGCCGGCATAGACGAGAGAAACACACGCACGCAGACACCGCCATCCCCTCCGACTCGACTCCCTACCTCGTAGACATAGTCGTTCTGGTCTTCATATATTTCGATAATGTTCTCTCAAGGCTTGAGACGCGCACGCCTCCTGGTGTAACTAGCCGAACCCATGGTAAACCTGCAAAGGTCGTCCCGTCCAGGCTTTTTTTTTTGTCGATGTCTCAAGGCATGTGAAGAACGAACACACCCCACCGCCGGCCGCCCCTATTTTTTTTTGTGTCTCATCCCCTCGAAGTCCTTCCCTTTTGCCCTTTACACCCCCCCCCCCCCCCCCCCCCCCCCCCCC